CCCAAAGAGCCCGGGCTGCTTCTCTTCGAAATGAATCCGTTTCCGAAGAGAACAATTAATGTTATCCCCGGATTAACAAACCCCTAGTTGATTAATACGGGGGGCCCCCTTTTAGTGGGGATTCATTACTTTTGGAGGGAACACCCCCCTAAAAATGGGACGGGTTTGTGAATTCTGGGTCAACATTAGCAAATCAAAAGGACGCCACCATGAGAGGACATCCTTTTTGTGCCCGTGCAAATGGATCAATCCAACCATTCCTTAGGGATCCTTCTTTTCAGGCCGTAAATGCCGTAAACCCAGCTGGTTTTTGCAAGCGATGGTTCTTCAAGAAACTGCTTGCAGAGAACGATGGTTCTGGTGCAAAGAATGTTTCGGGAATCCCGAAGGGGTGGTCCAAGGGGGGTGGTTCCCTACGGCTCTCTAAGGAACCCTAAGGAACCCTACTGAATTCTTTCTGGGCTCAGCCCCCCTGGTACCTTTCCCAGATAGAATTGCCTCAAATGCTCGCAAGGGCTTTTTTTCGCCGAAGCTCCGTGCCGATTCGAGGCCAAGAGTTGGCGGCCCGCGAGAAGAAGGCGGCGAGTTGCGGACCAGAAACACCGAAGCCAAAAACCTATATTCCTTTGAAAGTAAAGGGAGCCCCTGTCAGGTGGGTCAGAATATGGGTCATATTTCTTCCATGTGGGTATGGGTCAAAGCCACCGGGGACCGCAGGTTTGAGTGCATGTTTCCTTTTGCAAGGGCAACCCATTTCGAGGTTACTCTAGTCTTGACCCACAGCCATTTGCTGGAAATGACTCTTTGTTGTTTTCCCCTGGTTGGTCTTACAGGGAATCTATCATTTTTGGAAATATGTACATCTTTTCCAGGGGACGCATTCGCACATGGGGGAGTCCAACATGGAGTGTACCGGTGAACGTCATCCTTTTCTCAGGACCAGGAAGTCAGTTCTTGGCGTACCCAGGCAGAAGGGAGCTCCGGGTGCTACCATTCAAGCTGCAACACGCCGAGTCTTGCTGGAGGTTGTGATTTCTCCGCAAAGGATCCCCTCAAGACAACGACTCTCATGTTTCAACGTTGACCCCATAAAAATGGTGACAGTCACTTTGTGACCCACCATATGGGGGACAAGGAAAGCCCATGTGCCGATTTTTTGCATGTGGTCTTTTCTGTGGAACTGTTGTATTTTCAGGATTGACTAAATATGAAACAGAATCTGAACATATCATGTTCTGAGTAACATGGGCCAAGGTTCCGCCAGTTGTTAGGGTTTCATAGATGGACGTGGTTTCATAGTTTCATTTGGGAATCCAGCGAGACGGGCCTTTCTGTTCGGCTAAACGAAGGGCCATGTCCATATGAGCCATACCAGAAACGGCCCTTTGCTTGGGGGTGCTAGGGGTTTGTCATCAACCTTGTCACAGGTGTTTTGGACAACACATGCAATGAAAGGTTCCCACGCAACAGACTCACATTCGCTTGGCCACCTCAATTTGCTCACAAAGGGGGTTATAAGTCTATAAACGGGTTACCATTTTCTTTACAAACAAGTGGGTATTCAGGACCCCCCCCCAAAAAAAAAAAGAAACAAAAAAAGAAGAGAGGGGTAGTTTCTCCTCGTTCCTTCAAAACAGCCCTGGCATGGGTCCCTCAAACCAAGACGCACTGGATAGGCCGAGGAGTTGCGCCGAGAGAACGCCGAGCTGAAGGCCGACTGGGAGTCCTTGCAAGGCTCTTGAAACAAATGGCGTGTCAAAAGGCCCCCTCCAAAGCTGGTGGTTTCCTTGACAGTACAAGGGTACCCTCAAAAAGACTCTCTCTCTCTCTCTCTCTTTCACACATATGCATACAACTGTGTTTATTTATTTTATTTTATTTTTTACAGGGGAAGCCCGTTTTCTTTTGTGGTAATGGGAAACCAAAAGGAACACCGTTGGGGCATTTTGGGGGCCCCCCGATTGAAAGCAAGGCCTCTTTGGTTGGAGTTGGGCGTGGCCCATTTGTGCCCTGGTCAAAAGACGGGTTTGGGATGGGGTCATCCACCTGGTGAGGATCCGTACCCGTTGCAAATGGATTTCTACAGAGCAGACTATTCATGGCCATGGGGCATATAAGGAGATTTTGAACATGGCCCATATTGTTGGATCTCCTTTGAAGGAAACCCAAGAGGAGGGATCATTTGCTGGCTTTCCAGGCTCCCCTGTCTAGCAGCCAGTTACGCAACATGAGCTGGGGAGGCGGTCGGTCTGTTTTTGGTAGCACGCCGATGTTCAAACACTCAAGTGCAAGCAGGCAATGCTTTCCCACAGTTCTTCCCCGTAACCCTTTGGACATCCTTATGGCCATGCTTACTAAGCACTTGGCTACGGGTGATGCTCGAAATATCACAAGTAATGTTGACCCCCGGATTGATGACCCCAACAGTGGTGAAAGGGGACATCCGCCTATTAATCAAGGGGGTTATTAATCTGGCGTCAACATTGAGGGACAGGTAAAACTCTGGAATTGAAGGACCTCAACGATAGTTGGTTTGCAGTACGTGTGCCAGGGCCACAAAGACCCCTATTGACTCAGGTAAGTCCCAAGCGGCGAAAATGAGCTTGGACCATGTGACATGTGTGTGTGTGTGTTTCTTGAGGGTACTTTGCTTAGGTTAACTCAAAGGAAGTGCTCAAGACAAAGCGAACCATTTGGGCGGTCTCCCTATGTTGACGCATGCCACATGTTCAGCGACGGACTCGTTTCCAGCTTGGAGTGGTGAGGCGCAGCGGGAGGAGTGGCTGATGGCCAGAAAGCGTGAGCAAGAAGAACTCTTCGAGTTTGGGTCGCTTTCCTTGTTGCATCGGTCCGTTTGACGGGTTGCGGGGGTCTTCGGGGATGCCTTGGATTCTCACTGCGGACTTATAATTGGGGGAAGGGGTGATTTGGATCTTCAACGTGCCAGGCAGAGTACAGACGGGTCCATCCAAAAAGGGTGCCAACTCCAAAAAAGACGAGCCACGCATTTTCGTGCCGTGCAACGATCGGATCCGATTTCGGGTTCTACGTAGAGGTCGAGAAGTCTTCGCCTTTGTCCAACTTCTCATTGCCCGCATCGTCTACCTTTCTGGCTTTTTGCCGTTTTGGTCGTCCATAGTTTTCTCACTCCCTGAGTGCCTGGACTTTAGTCACTTTCTGGGTTTGGACCGTGTTAGTGGCAGCCAAAAATTTGGGTTGCTTCTTTGGCCAATCCACTCGATCGGAAGTTTGTCATTTTGGTTAGCAAAGAGTTGCAACTTTTTGCGGAGAAAGTCACATAGGTGTGGTTTTTTTAGGGGCCCCGCTTAAATGGTGGCTTCTCTTGTGGTTTCCCTTTAAAACCATCCAAACAGGGTTCCAACTCAAAAACAGGCACCCTCACATCCCCAACTAGAAAGCGCTTATTTTTCCCCTCACATGGTCATGGGATGCCCGGCTTACACAAGAGCCGAGCTCGAGTTGGGTTTCTTTTTGGTTTCCGTCTAACATCCACAAGGGGTGTTGTCATGGTTACCCCTCCATTCGAGCTGGGTTTCCTCTTGATGTTTCACATCCAAAAGGAGAGGGGTTATATAGAATTGGTTGCAATAGGTTATAATTGAAGACCTGCTATCCTGGTGGATGCGTTAAATATTGCAAGCAGAGAACAAAAGAAACCCTGCACATTCAGCCATGGTTTGTGGTTGGTTTACTTGCAACATTGAGTTGGCATCCACCGTTGGTTGACCCCTTCAGGTTGGTTTTCGCGGCGCCTGATGTGCGCAGCTTATTGAGAGCACAGGGTTGCGCTTCTGCAATGAGTTGACCAAACAGCAAGGGAAGGAGCCCCTTTGGTTTCCTTTGATTTTCCTTGGCTTCGAACGGGTTTCCTTTGGTTTCCAAACGGCTTTTGTTCACAGACCAAGACATTTGTCCAGTTACGATCGGATTTTTGGAGCTGCAGGTTTGACCTGCCTTTTTCTGACTCGGGCTTGCACCAGCAAGGGGAACATTTGACTTGCCCGTTTGTGGTTTGGGGTTTTGTGTGAGAAGCCAAAGTAGAGAACTACAACCCCCATGGTTTCTCCTCGTTTTGGGCAGAAGCCAACCCGGAAAAGCACGTGCTCAACCTGTGTTGGGTTACCAATTCCAGGCCTACGTCTCCCGATGGCTCAATTCCGAAGCAAACCCACCGGGTCCCAGCAGCTTTTTGGGGTTAGGAAAGAGGGAATGTTCCCCAAAGTTTCTGGCAAAGGAACAGTTGCAAGCCCAAAGAAGCGCCAAAGAAGCGACCCTTCTACTTGCTCCCCCAAATTCTTCACATCCACTTTGCGGTGTTTGGTTGCGCCTCCTTCGGACCATGCGCCCCATGCCATTGGCGCCCGGCGGCGCCGGCGCGGCGCCGGCCTTGCGCCCCGCTCCCCGGCGGGCGAGGGAGGCGGCTGCTCCTGGCGCGGCCGCGGCCTCCGCGCGCGGAACGGCCGCGGGGAGCTCGGGGTGTGGGTCTCGCGGCTTGAGTTGGACTGTTGGACTCGAGCCAGTTTTCCAGGGGGCGATTCCTTCCAACCATTGCAACCACCGTTTTCTTTCCCAAAAACCGAATCCGTTTTGCCTGGGAGTCTGGAGGTGTTCTAGAAAGATCCGGATCCCTGGAAAGAATGGGGAAGGTACCCCTAGAACCTTTTGTGAAGACTATTCGAGTGAGCAACAAGTTCAGCCTTCTTTTTTTTCTGGCAGCTTCCACTAAGGAAGTGAGTTGTCGCGAACGCTAGCTTCCCTTGCTGCTGGCAAGCAAGTGGATGATGTTTGTTTGTCTGTTTTGGAGCAAGGGCGGTGGCAAAGTACGTCCGACCCTCCTGCTTGTAACCTTTTAGCCAACTTTTAAACCAAGGTTCAATATCCAAGAACCAGTGCCCGTAAACATTGCGGACGGACGCGCGTCGCCTGAACCAGTGCCCGTAAACATTGCGGACGGACGCGCGTCGCCTTTGCTTGGGCAGGTGCTCCCGTTGGTCCTGGCTGCAGAGACAAGGAGGGGTGAAGCGGCAACAGGTAAAACCGTTGCTAAACGCATGAGAAGCACCCGAGAAACACGTGACAAACGCATGAGACACATATGAGAAGCGCATGAGAAGCGGATGAGAAACACAGGACAAACGAAAAACAAACGCATGAGAACACGATGTGAGAAAGCGTGACAAGCACATGAGAACCGCATGAGACATACGTGAGAAACGTACGGGCCTGTAGCTGGAATCACCCAGACGCAGGATATTCAGACCTCTAATGTTTTCCTTTGTTCCTTTTTGTTGAAGGGGGGGGGTATTGAAATCAAGTACATGACTGGGTGAAAGACGGCAAAATGTTTTGAGATCCCCCTCACTTCCCCAAAATTCAGGGATTTGTGCCATCTACTCTCGCCCTACCCCAAAAGGGCTGCTTTTCCCTGGCATCAGACGCGGTCTTGGCTTAAGATTCGTAGGAGAACACATGCGCCCATGAAATCAAACATGGGGATTTCCAGTGGAAACCCGTCAACACTAGGGTGAAGAGACTCCCAACATGGGTGGTTTCCTTTTGGTCTGCACCCTAAAACAAAGATGCACATGTTTTTCTCGGCAGTTGTCGGCGTCACGCAGGTTTTGGCGTCCAACCCTCCATGAAGGTTCCTGGCTGATTGATTGTTTCTGAGCAGGTAGAATGATTCTAAGATGGTTTTCAGGACCCAGCAGAAAAAATGAGATATACAATCACTATATGGGGCTGATGAAAAGGTCCTTTTCATGGGACGACCATTGGTTGGAAAATCACGAACAAGATATGATTTCTTCCACTCGGGGGCCGACCGGAATATTGATCAACCCCCATATGCTACTAAAGGGTACGTCCACTATTTTTCTTTGGGGATGGTTTGGGGGTGGAAACCATCTTAGAATGAATAGCACAATTGCAGGGCCGTCCAAACCATGGGACGCCTGCATGCAAGCAGTCGGCTGCCCACGCAAGTCTTCACGGAGGAAGCTGCGAGGTTTATGTGTTATTCAGAGACGTACCCATGGCATATATATATATATATATCTTATATATATATACATACACAAGCATATACATATACATACAGTGGATGGTTGCAAAATCCATTTCGCACCACCAAAGAAACCCTGGAATGATTCGATTCCCCAACGTAAATACCAAGAAACCATGGGTTCTGCCATGGTTTCAACCCGGCGCGGACGGATTTCGTGCATGTTCGCGGTATGTGCCACCTGGCTATTGACTCAAATGGGTAGCACCCACAATGTGGTCAAAATAACTTGTACTTATACATGCATATATATATATATTACATATATATATATAGATACATATATGTTTTTCAAACCACGGCGGCCAAGTATTGATGGGCAAGATCACGGATTTTCAGTTCGAGGCCTGGGTCAACTTTCGCATGGGCCTTTTTCAAGCGGGGGCCATAGTGAACTTCTGCTGATTCAGAGGCAACTTGCCAAGGGGAGCCCAGGGTATGACCCTTAGTGGCCTGGGAATCATATGACTCCGCAGTTTACTAGAACACATGTCCAGTGTGAGTCATTTACCCGGACAACAGCAAATCACTGGTAGTCTATTGTTGGGAAGGACAATTTGGGGCCTGAACTTTCACCACAAGTGAGCTTGCCCTTGGCGGAAACAAGTAACTCCGGCTGATATGCGAATTCATCAATTTCAGTCGTTGCCCCAGGACCCCGCGGGCGCGGCCTTGCGTGCGTTCGGATCGGCGACGGGGTCTTGAGGCATGCCGGGTCATTGGCAAGGTTCCGAAAACCAATGGGTTCAAATGAGCTTCCTTCAATGGGAGTGGTTGGTTCCAAGCGAGTCCTTACACGTATTGCAGCCTCCAACAGATTCCTACGATTGATCCAGAGCCCGCTTGAGTGGCTCCAAAGGCACTGTGTTTGAGGGTCTCTGATTATGGTCCTCCGGATTTATCCAATATTACCCCAGGAATGCATGTTTTTGAGGTCCAACGACAATGGCAGGGAAAAGCCTGCTTGACAAGTAGGGTGCAACCATATGCCGAAGTATGTGACCAAGCAAGCCGTTAGACGCTGAGAACCATCGTGGCAGATCCTCTTTTGTGAGATCAGGTACTCATGGAGGCTGGGGGGAGGCAGGGGAGAGGGCCCTCCCCTCCCCTTCCCCCTTCCCCCTCCCCCCCCCCTCTCCCCTCTCCCCTCTCCTCTCCCCCCTCTCCCCTCTCTCCCCTCTCCCCTCTCCCCTCTCCCCTCTCCCGGCCCTCTCCCCTCTCCCCTCTCCCCTCTCCCCTCTCCCCTCTCTCCCCTCTCCCCTCTCCCCTCTCCCTCTCCCCTCCCTCCCCTCCCCTCCCTCCCTCCCCTCCCCTCCCCTCCCTCCCCTCCCCTCCCCTCTCCCTCCCCTCCCCTCTCCCTCCCCTCCCCTCCCTCCCTCCCCTCCCCTCCCTCCCCTCCCCTCCCCTCCCCTCCCCCCCTCCCCTCCCCTCCCCTCCCCTCCCCTCCCCTCCCCTCCCCTCCCCTCCCCTCCCCTCCCATGCACAGCTTGTCCCGAACTCAGTAGAAACGGCGCAGCCTTGAGCTCGCGCGTGCTGCTGTGCGCTAGGCCAGGGCCAGTCACTGCCGTGTGCGCCTGGGGCCACCACGCCTTGGAAGCCGACCAGTGCTTCGTTGTGGCGGGAGGTCGTGTCCTGTGCGGCAAAGCGGCTGTCAGCCCCTCAGCAGAGCCTGCGCAAAAGTTGCTGTCCTGGCGTCTCAGGTGTGGCGGTATCCGTGCCACTCGCCGGAAGATATGTGCGTCCTCCACGCTGAGAAGCCGCCCCCGCGCGCGCCCCTGCACGCGAACAGCATCATGCTGTCGCCCAAGGAGGGGACATGGACGGCGACAAGGACGAACTTTCCTTCCACCGGCTGCTGGTTGAGTTCCTCGAGCTCACCCAGCTGGACGTGGACGCCGTGCCTTGGGAGGACGCCCCGAAATACTCCCATTAAGTTTGAGGAGAGGTGTGGGGAGGATTGCCACCTGCAAGACAATTTAGAAGTTGATCCTTGCCAGGACCACAAGACGTCCGTTCTGGCCGGTCTTGAACAGGGGCAGACCGAGTGGGCGGGCGTCAAGACCCGAGGCGACTGCCGACGGCGTCTTGTTTGCGAGGCCGTCGTTTGCCTGGGAGGCGAGCAATACCTCGAGCATGCCGTGAAGTTGAGCATGGCCAACTTGCGCGGGGAAGCGCCGCGGCCAAAGTTTAGCAAAAGATTGTCGAGGGGGGGCGCTTTCGGGCGATTGCTTTCCCGCTCGCGCAGCGAATTCCAATTTCTTTCTGCTTGGCTTGGGCGACCAGGTGGCCGCGCTTTCAGAGCGTGTGACTTGCGTGGCTCTCGCGAGCCCGACGCCTGAGAACATTGACTCCGCGCTGAAGTTCGCCGTCCTGGCGCACAACGCTGCTCGGCCAAACGAAATTGCCCGCGCGCGGGCGCACCTCGCCAAAGCCGCTGCCGGGCCCTCCAAAGTGAAAACAAAGGCAGTCTCGGGCCAATCGAGTTTGTTTAACAGATTTTTTTTGCCGAAATCTCCGGCTGTGCTGAGAGTGCGGAAAAACCATTCCGTTTTCGACGCGGCGTGTCCGCCAGGTCATGGACGTCCCGGCAAATAGGTCCCCCAGTTTCCCTCTACATAACACTCATAAGGGGAAGGTTCCAATACATCCACTTCATATTAAAAAGAGACAGTTTTTTCCCACATAGGTCTCTTAAAGAGCAGCCCAGATTCTGGGCTTCGGTTTCCCCTTCCCTAACCAGCCCCAAGCGGGGAACCCCGCACACAACGGAACGAAGGTCTAGGCGCGCAAACTCGGCTGGTGTGTCGCTTTTCCCGAGAAGAGCCCCCAACAAACAGGCGCAAGTCCACAAGAGTGTTTCTCCTTTTGCCAGAAGACAAAGCACGCTGCTTGGTAAATTTGAGGTTGGGGCGGGCCTGGGCAGATGCGCCTGGTTTCCTTCCACAGGAAGCCGGATTGGTTGTGTCTTGCAATGGGAATTGTCGAATTGCTTTTGAGGAGAAGCCACAGGGAAGACCGATCATTGGATGCTCCTCCTATGTTGAGTTATATCCAAATCATTTGATATGGAGACGACATGTTTTGATGCCATGTTCTAAGAGGCATTGTTGTGCACCATCTCTTCTGAAAGAGCGGTTTGACCAATCTTGACCCCGACTGCAACCCGTCTGTGCGAGAAGTAACCCTTTCTGTGATACCAAACTGAGCCGCGAGTTGCAGCCCTGGGCTTAGCAGACCGTGCGGCGCGCTAACCCGTCCCCCTTCCTCCCTGATACAAAAAGCACCCGAGGAATTTACGTCCCCCAGAACAGTCTCAGATTGGGTGGCTTAGCGTTGGGTTCCAATAGGAAAGGTGGGACCCCTTGGATTTGCAGATGTGAATAGTTTGCCTGCGACTGCATGATCCCTTGGTTCACGCATTACGATCACAGCGATCGCGGAGCGATCGCAGAGGCATCAAGGAAAACAATCATTCGAGCTTGCTGCGTTTCTGCGGCAGTGCTGATATTTGCTATATCGCTTTTACTCAGAAGGATGGTGCCACTAATAATGTCGGGCATAAACAAAGAATCCCCTTGATTCTGAGGTTATCAGCCGTAGGGTTCGTCCCACGTGCTGTGAGATGAGGGTGATCTGAAGTGGTAGGTGACGTACCACCGTTTCATAAGGATCAGTCTCAAACTGCAAGGAGTCACAGTATTTCCGCGACAATGTCCGATGGAAGATCTTCGGCTAAATTCACGGCACCTGCTGCCGGGAGTTCATCCCAAGCAACACCGGAGCAGCCGGTCATGAGAGCGGAGATACCTTTGTGGTGAGGACCTGCGGCAGTAAGCCAGCACAGGGATGCAGGCGTGGGTCAGACCATGGAAGCAAGGGCTTCACTCCTATCAAGGGTGCCCAAACAGGAGAAAAATCCTCTTCTCCAAGAGGTGCCCCAAGTGACACCAAAACTGAAGCCGCGAACAACATGATTAGACGCATTGATGATTTCTCCCTCCCTCCCTCCTCCCTTCCCCTCCCCTCCCCTCCCCTCCCCTCCCCTCCCCTCCCCTCCCCTCCCTTGTGCACTTCCATCTTACGTGGGAGGGTAGGACTTTAGGACTTTCACCACATGACAAGTTACAACACAGTCAGTTTGGGCCGAACGGGTCACCGGGCAAGGTTTTCTGAGAGGGGGCCGGATCGCTGGAGCTGCCTCCCCAGCAGGTCCGTTGGTACCTTTTGGTTTTGGGTAGCACCCCTTGTTGGTTTTGGTCCGAAACAGGGATTTATAAATGTCTGGCTGATTAATAGGGGGTGTCCCCCTTGTTGGTGGGGATTCAGACCACTTTTGGAGGGAACACCCGCCTAATAATGGGACGGGTTCTACTTAGATCCTCCCCCCAGCGCCAAATTTTCCAACTTTGTTGCAGGCCCAGACCCGTCGGGTGACATCGGCCATCGCGCGTTCGCAGGCGGCGCTGCTAGTTGGCTGTTGCTGGCTCTTCTTCGGCGAACGAGCGCTGGCCTTTGACTTCAACGGACGGGGGAATAGAGAGAGAGAGAGAGAGAGAGAGTCAGTTGTTCAGTGGCACCACTTCTTTTTTTCCTTTTTTTGGGTGGCCCCACTAAAAATGGTCTTTCACAAAAAGGCTTCTTTTTTTCCAGGGTCACTGAACAACTGAGGAGAGAGAGCCCCACTTGGACGCCACGTAGGCGTTTTACTGCGGTTCACCGTTCAGAAGTTTTTTGAACCCCAACGGAGTTTCTGATGCTTCCCCAAGGCAAATACCCTAAGACACGTTGTGGTGTTTCTGCGAAGGGATTTCGCAGTCCACAGAAATTCACCATAGCTGGCAAAATTGGAGCACCTGGAGTCTTACTTTCAAATGCATGGATGGGTAGTAACATGTTTGATTCGGGGCTGATTCGGAGACATGCGCCACCCCCAAACCTCCCCAGTTTAACATGGAACCCCAAAACCCCCGCATGTTTGGAGGATCTCCTTTTGGGGAACGGGAATGTTTTATTGGTCCCATGTGAATTTGCGGGGGAGTAGCATGGCTACAAAGCCTCAAAGCGTGCAAACCACACGTACCAATGTGCGGCCCGGGTTTGAGGTTGAAAGGGACCACCTTTGGAATCTTGCGGTTTTCCCAATGGGGACTGAACAGTTCGACAGGCCAGCCGTCTATTTTAAGAACAGCCAAGTAGTTAAACATATTATGTATATATATATTATATATATATGTATACATCTGTACACCGAATGTGGCAGACTGTGGCATACGGCCGCAGTTGCTAGCTGGCTAGTCCCTTGGTTGTGGAGAATTGTGGCTTAGGACCCTCAACAAAGGGCACGCCCGGTTGTACAAGCATGCTTTAACTCGAAGCATCATGGGGGCTGAAAGGGAGCGGGGCAGCCTAAATAAGCCCTTGAGGCCTTAGTAAGTCATTTCATGGTTGTCGTTGGACACATTTTCATTTTTTCTTATTGTGGTTTAGTGGGACATCCCCACTCAACTGCTATTTGCTTTTAGATTTTTGCTCCCCTTCCAACGTCAACCAAGTTATTACGGGCCGATTTGTTCTTATTCCAGCCCCCATAAGCAACCGAGAGAAGGTGTCAATCAGCAGGCGCCAGTTTGGCGGCGGCCGCAAGTAGCTCGCCCTACGGCGCCGCCGGCTTTGTGCGGCTTGTCCGGCCTTGACAAGGGCCTTGTCAGGGCTCCCTAGATACCGTTGGTGGCGCCTGGTTACTTCCGTTTCTTTAAGAACACATGTCTTGTTGAATTCCCCGTTTTTTCTTTCCGGTTTGTCCTTTCTTTGAGGGAATCTATCACTTTTGTCAATAACTTTGTTCCAGGGGGCGTATTCGCAAGTGGAGGTTTAGGCTGGTTTAAAGGGAAGAGGAATGCCGACACTTTTTTTTTGGGTCCCCCTGTTACCCAATGTTTGAAGCAAGACCTTTTGAAACTTTGGGGCCAGTGAGTTTCCTGAAAAGCGTCAGGGGACATGTGGGGAACGGTGACCGGTTTCTGGACTTCGGCTTCTTGCAGGATCAGATTGGAACGCAAAAAAAGTTTGCTCGCTTGGCTCCAGTCTCAAGTGAGAGAGTCTGGCATATCCGAAAGACTCACTTACCTCAGCGAATCGACGAGATCAGGTCCTTTGCAGCGCAGTTGTCCAAGGCGAATGGACCTGAAATGACCTGTTTTGGGAGATTTTGAGTCGTGGCCCCATTTCTGGGTCCAAAGGGATGCAACTCAGAGAGGCAACTCAGAGAGACCCGAACAAAAACCCAACATGGCTGCTCTACCATAGTGGGAGCCATGGTTTCACCCAAAGGAAGTCTGGCTTTATTAGGTATCCGTGGAATCTGCAAGGGGGTGGTCCACGGGAACGGGGACCCGCCCCAAGGCTCCCTGAAAGAAGCCCTAAGCAAGTTTTTGGGAAGCCTTTGGAACCGTAAGGGCTCTCAACTGCCCACCCCTTGTGCCTTACCTCCCTTTGGATTTCTCTAAAAATAGGTATAGACCAAAGGGTCGGCGGCCTTGTGGTCTTAAGTCCGTGTCGGGCCCAAGATTTGACGTTTTACTGGTTACAAAGAGTTGGGCTTTGGTCCCGCTAAGCCTGGCTGTATCACCCACTACTTGGACTCCTGGTGAAGAAACCTGCACTTGGTCTCAGTCGAGGTGTTTTTTCTTCCCATACCGGGGCAAAACCGGGACCCCTGATTCACAGCTGGGACGTTGAACCAGGGGTCAACACTCAACGGGTCCAACTGATTTGTGGACCCGTGGCCCATGACCTCACGTCCTTTGGGCGGGCGTGAAGGTTCCAGGTCGCGAAAAGGTCACCTTCCCCCTTGACAACCCCCCCGAGCAAAGAAGCCCCCAAACACGCACTGGCAGACAAACCCTTTGGGGAAGGCAACAAGAGACCAAATCTGGGATTGGAGTGTCGCGGAGCAGTCACCCTTCATAGTTTTTTTGCACCCGGGCAAGCTCCCACCTTTCGAGCCACAAGATGAGCCAACACAGACACAGAGCCCAAAGAATTGGGGCCGGAGTTGTGCGTTGTGGCAGTCCAAAAGAATCGCCAGTCTTTTTGTTTGTCCTTTGGGCAGGGTAAATCCCACAGGCACACTGGGGATAACAACCTCTCTGGGCCGGTCCAGTGACTCATTTGAGCGAAGTCGACTCCCGAAAGGCTTAGTTTTGGTGCTCGGCTCATAGTTTTGGCCTTTCTATCCCCAAAACCCCAGAAACCCTCCGGGTAGAATACAAAAGTCTGGGACTGGACCAAAAAAGTCCTCCACGGCTTTCTCCCATCCTCCGTCCGGAGGTGTTTTGTCGAAGCTCCATGGCGACGCCGAGGCTCGCCCACTGCCTGGCCATCGTCGCCTGCTTCCCCGGCACCGGCGCCTTCGAGCTGGCCGCCGGCGGGGGAGTCCCAGAAAGCGATCGAGCGAGCGAGCGGCTTCCCTGGTGGCTCGGGTGTTTTTCGAGTTCGGCTAGGAGCTCCTGTGACGCCATCCCCTGAAAGCTTTTGAGACCCTTTGGGGCCATCCGGTTCCTTAGCTTCATAGAGCCTTTTAGGCCATCCGGTTCCTTAGCTTCATAGAGCCTTCTAGGCCATCCGGTTCCTTAGCTTCATAGAGCCTTCTAGGCCATCCGGTTCCTTAGCTTCATAGAGCCTTCTAGGCCATCCGGTTCCTTAGCTTCATAGAGCCTTCTAGGCCATCCGGTTCCTTAGCTTCATAGAGCCTTCTAGGCCATCCGGTTCCTTAGCTTCATAGAGCCTTCTAGGCCATCCGGTTCCTTAGCTTCATAGAGCCTTCTAGGCCATCCGGTTCCTTAGCTTCATAGAGCCTTCTAGGCCATCCGGTTCCTTAGCTTCATAGAGCCTTCTAGGCCATCCGGTTCCTTAGCTTCATAGAGCCTTCTAGGCCATCCGGTTCCTTAGCTTCATAGAGCCTTCTAGGCCATCCGGTTCCTTAGCTTCATAGAGCCTTCTAGGCCATCCGGTTCCTTAGCTTCATAGAGCCTTCTAGGCCATCCGGTTCCTTAGCTTTATAGAGCCTTCTAGGCCATCCGGTTTCTTTATAAGTTGGCCATCCGGAGTTCTACCATACAGAACCTTCTAGGGTTCCTTAGCTTCATAGAGCCTTCTAGGCCATCCGGTTCATAGGCCTTTAGGCCATCAGTTCCTTAGCTTTATAGAGCCTTCTAGGCCATCCGGTTCCTTAGCTTCATAGAGCTTCTAGGCCATCCGGTTCCTTAGCTTCTAGAGGCCATCCGGTTCCTTAGCTTCATAGAGCCTTCTAGGCCATCCGGTTCCTTAGCTTCATAGAGCCTTCTAGGCCATCCGGTTCCTTAGCTTCGCTTCTAGGCCATCCGGTTCCTTAGCTTCTATAGAGCCTTCTAGGCCATCCGGTTCATAGCTTCGCAGAGTAGCCTACAAACCCATCCGGTTCCTTAGCTTCATAGAGCCTTCTTAGGCCATCCGGTATCCTTAGCTTCATAGAGCCTTAGGCCATCCGGTTCCTTAGCTTCATAGGCCTTCTAGGCCAGTTCCCCTTAGCTTCATATCCGGTTCCATAGCTTCATAGAGCCTTCTCCGGCCATCCGGTTCCTTAGCTTCATAGAGCCTTCTAGGCCATCCGGTTCCTTGGCTTCTTGACCTTCTAGGCCATCCGGTTCCTTAGCTTCATAGAGCCTTCTAGGCCATCCGGTTCCTTAGCTTCATAGAGCCTTCTAGGCCATCCGGTTCCTTAGCTTCATAGAGCCTTCTAGGCCATCCGGTTCCTTTAGCCTTCTATAGAGCCTTCTAGGCCATCCGGTTCATAGCTTCATAGAGCCTTCTAGGCCATCCGGTTCCTTAGCTTTATAGAGCCTTCTAGGCCATCCGGTTCCTTGTGAGCCTTCTAGGCCATCCGGTTCCTTAGCTTCATAGAGCCTTCTAGGCCATCCGGTTCCCTTCAGGTTCCTTTGCTTCATAGAGCCTTCTAGGCCATCCGGTTCCTTAGCTTCATAGAGCCTTCTAGGCCATCCGGTTCCTTAGCTTCATAGAGCCTTCTAGGCCATCCGGTTCCTTAGCTTCATAGAGCCTTCTAGGCCATCGGTTCCTTAGCTTCATAGACCTTTAGGCCATCCGGTTCCTTAGCTTCATAGAGCCTTCTGGCCATCCGGTTCATAGCTTCATAGAGCCTTCTAGGCCATCCGGTTCCTTAGCTTCATAGAGCCTTCTAGGCCATCCGGTTCCTTAGCTTCATAGAGCCTTCTAGGCCATCCGGTTCCTTAGCTTCATAGAGCCTTCTAGGCCATCCGGTTCCTTAGCTTCATAGAGCCTTCTAGGCCATCCGGTTCCTTAGCTTCATAGAGCCTTCTAGGCCATCCGGTTCCTTAGCTTTTTAGATCCTTTGAGCTGTTTAGTGGTAGTTTCAAAATTTAACCGACTGATTGTTCACTTTTAGCCCAGCTTCCGTTGGGCCATGGACCCGAGCTCCCCAAGTCCGCCGTTGCAACCGTTGAAACCATGGCTTGTTGTTTTATTCGCCAGGGGGAAGGAAGCGTGTCAGAGACACCGTGGTTTCTGAAGGGCGCGCCGGAGGGGATTTTTTCGCACAGGTTGCCATGCTGTGGTTGATCCAGGTATTCCTGGGCTGTGAGAGCTATCCCAACTGGTGCGAAGTGGGTTTTACTCCCATCATGACAACACCACAGCCATGGGTTCGACTTGACCACTGGGGTGACCTTCGAGATATTGTACGGCAAGATATGCAGCTTTTGCGTTTTTGTTCCATGGGGTTTGAGCGATTCTACTTTTTGTTCTTCTTCTTTTTTTTTTCCCCGGGGGGGGGGGGGGGGGCGGGGGAAGGTACTTTAGCGAGGGCCTATGTTGTAGAAGTTTCACTTGTTCCGCTTAATATACATATACGCCTGTGTACGTCTGTAGTTGTCAGAGTTGAAATATGATCTAACACTAATACTGATGTTAAAACAATTGTTTGAATGGTGTTGGGCGCTAAGAAATCGTTTTGAAGTGCAAAATTAGTAGCAACAGTAACTTATGTTCCGCCATGAATTTGGAGTACAATGACTACAACACACCTTCAGTTTTTGCATAAACATCATTAGCAAATAGATTACCCTCAACATCAGCAGTGGCAGTAGTAACAAGCCATCCAGTAGACACACATTGGCAGTTCAATTGTTATCAGATGACGCTGCAGGGCCTCTACCTAGCAAGCTAGTTTAATAATTGATGTCGGCGGTTCTCATATCAAAAGATGTAAAGGCGCTGACAGCTACAACATTTAGGCTCTGTATCAATAGTAAACGTACTGTTTGATGCAACATTCATCCTATCACATGTTAACCTACCATTGGTGTAAGTAGTTGCCAGAGCATCAGCGGAATTATTCAATGCAGTTGTATATGCTAATCGATCACACATAGATTATTGGTTTGACGCACGTGTAATATGTCCAAGACCACTTCAAACGAAACTAGGATGATCAAACATGCACACCTGCAGTAACATCTGGTTTTCTGTTTCTACATGCGGTTTCAAACCGTGTATTTGGAGTATTTACATTCTGCAATAGTGTTTTGATATGAGTTGCAAGTTGTAAGTAGTTAAACTAATTATATCGGAGTTCAAATACACCGTAGCCTCACAATCACATGCATATGCACGCATGTGCGGGAAAAAAAGGGAAGAAACACATCTGAGCAGTATGAATGAATGGGGAACTTATGACATGCGGAAAAACGTATGAGCAGTATGAATGAAGGGAAACGTAAGGCATTGGTTGAAGCGTTTGATGAATGCCTCACGCTAAGATTTCATGGGTATTCCAACCTATCTGGCGCGGCACCTGAACTGTAGGCGACCATTTGGCTGTCGGTCAAAAATAAAACTGGGTACCCAAAATGGAACCCTGGTAAATGGAACCCATGACTAAAACAGGCGGTCCATGTTTCCACTTGCCAGTGTTCCATTTTGGGTACCTATTATTGACCCACAGCCGTATGATGGCTGGGTTAGTTGTATCAATTAAACCAATGACTAAAAATGATAATTGCTTGTAGTTATGTCCGAAGGGAACGCCTCGATTGTCATTAACAGTGCTGATTGAGTTAGTTGTATTCATGTTTCCCGTTTGTAAAGTATAACCAGGGTTTGAACCTGTATTGTTTAATATGGTTGAGCACGAACAGTGACACCTACTGTTGCATCGGGAGTTAACAATGATTGAACAGTGACACCGGTATCCAATTCAGCATCACCAAGCCCCGTCTGAGGTCTAAACATAAGTGAACCTATCATATGAACATTCAACCCTGGTGGTTTGGTTATTTCGAGGGGCAAGCCTGTTGAGAAGGACGGACATGGATAATCAACGATTGTTTGTTCAGGAATACTCGCCATCGTTCCTCAAGGGGCCTCTGCACTCGCCTAATCAACTAGCGCTTGGATCACGTGCGGAGGGATCAGCAATTTTAAGTGTACAGCGGAAACAGTCACTTTGCACAAGGACTGCCCAATTGTGGTTCGATTGTCACTATCATTCCAAAGCCATGGGTTTGTCTCAGAATAGGGGAACCGGGGAACCTCTAGCTTGGTGGTGTCCATTTTAACTTCCCTTTAAACAGGGCTCCTTAAAAGATACATTTCGCCCGTTTGAAACATGTTGCTTTTTCAACACCAAAACAAAGGGACACCACAATTTACAAGTTGCAATGTTCAGGTGTATAATGCATCCGGATCCCTGTTAAGCCCAAAAGGGGTACCCAACACAACTTGGATCCCAGCTTTCGGTCGTTTGATCCTGAGCCAGGATCCAGTGGAAACATCCTCGATCAAAGATTGTACCAGAGCCCAGGAAGAAACCCCTTAAGAATACGACAAGACTCAAGAAGGAGTAAATTCGGAGTACATCAGCTCTAAGTAGGGCTTCGTTGTCATTCTTCTTCTTTGGGTTTGGTCTGGCGGTCGGAGAAGAGGTTCAAATTCTTAAAGCACCAAGCCAAATCCGGAGCGTTCCCGGAACTGCAACCCTCCCAAGTCAACTCAGTTTCCCTGAGGTTTTTGGGTTGGACCTAATGGGAACCTGGTAGTGAAGCCATTGAGATGAACCCCGATTGATTTGGACTCACAGCGGCCATCGTTCAGGTTGGATATTGGAAACATCTCCCAAAGAACACTAGGTTGATCACCCGGTTGATTACCTCCACAGTTGCGGGTTATATACTCAGACTCATGGCCCCTTGTGAGTGCTGATCCCGTCTGCAAGAGAGAGAGGGACGCTCCTGGGGCCCTATTTTACAGAGTTTTGGACACCGCTGCAAAAAGCAAAACAAAACCACCAAACAACTGTAAAACCAGTGCTCACAGCGAGTCCCGCTCTCATTTTCGAAAGGGTCATGGAGACTCCAGGTAGATTTATGCCACAAACAGTGCTCCATTTAGCCTCAGCCACTAGTATGAGACGGGGGTCCATCGCGCTTAAACTAAACTTGGAATTGTTTTGGTTTTGGAGAGTCACAAGTAGTTGTGTAAAGGGTCTAAGCAAATACTAGTCTTGCTGGTGCTCAGTAGATGTGGGAATGAACCCGGGGGTCCCCTTGAGTGAAACCAGCAGTTGGATGGTTAAGGGTCATTTCTCATTCCCTGCATCTCTCGCACCAGCATGTTATCCTATGGTTTTAACCCATGGTTTTAACCCATGGTTTTAACCCACGGTTTCGACCCATGGCTTTAACCCATGGCCCCCTATGGTATGTTATCCTACCGGGTACTCTATGGTTTGAACCTACCCCCCATTCTATACTCTATGGCTGTGGTGCTTGGGGCAACACAGCCGCAGGCGCTGCCTTCGGGTTTTGGCCCGGTGCGGCCATGGTGGCGGCAGCAAAGGAACGGCTCGGAGCGGTCGCCGTATGGCCGTTTTGATCGCCGGATGGCGGTCTCGTGGGAAGGGCTAGGTTAGGATATGGCTGTGGGTCAAAACCAATGGCACCATTTTGGTTGGTAGGTGAATTCACCCATTTTAGGCTTCCTATTTTGGTGGTTGGATTGGTTGATGTTCACTGGGAGCTATCCGGGGTTTTGACCCATGGCCATATATCGCTGACCGTGGATCGAAGCAGAACCCCTGGTTGATTTTGATCGGGGGAAAACTCCGGGGCACTTTTGTGGGTCACACCCCACATTAATAGGACGATGTATTAATCCAGGCTCAACATCGGGTGGAGCAAACAGGGTTCGTTGGCACATAGCCATGTTTATGCACGCGGGTCTGAAAACTGTGCCCGTGCACGCTTTCGCAAATTCGTGATTTTAGTCAACATTGCCAATGACCCCACACCTGCACATGATAAGCACACCTGCTCAAGCGCACCTGCTCAGCACTGCATCCACGCCAGCATGCAACAAATCTGCTCAAGTGCTCTCAGTCAGCACTGCGTCCACGCCTGCGCGTGACAAGCACACTCACTTAGGTCAGCATTGCATTCGCGCCTGCGCATGATGAGGAAACACGCTTCACTTCTTCGTCTCACCTGCATCCACGCTTACTATGTTCTCTTTTGTCGATGCGTTTTGGCCTCAACTCAACCGCGACACGCCATTCGAAAACTTGACGCCTTCCCACGCTGCAGCTGTTTGCGCGCGGCCAGAATGTATGCAAACAAGCCGGAGACCCTAGTGCTTGCCAGTTGCCGAGCGGCTCTGCTGGAAAAGGCGAACTTTGCTTGGGACTAGAACCTGCTCTTTTCAGGGCAACCTATCTAACCAAAGGGACTTTAAGATAAACATAAACCCCTTTTTGCAACTGGGAAGCAGCTTGAACATCATTTCGATCCCATCTGTTTTCGGAAAGCCGGAACCACGACTCGGGGTTTTGCGACCCATACAGGCTCCTTTTGTCAGGCGCTTTTAGTGGGTGAAATCGGATTTGATTTCACTTTCCGCTTCTTGCAGAGGGTAAATGGGGCATCGCCCCTATCCTCCAAGTCACCAATCCAAACTACCAACTAGAGGGACACTGATTTATATGGGACCTCCTTTTTAGATGGGCGAATTCTGCGCTCAGAAGCAGAAGAAGCACAGACTTTCTAAGCAATGTAAAAGAAGCGTGAGCAGTCCTTGGCTGTGAATCCCAGTAGGGCTTGTGAATGACGGTTCAATGTCGCCTTGCGATATTCAAACAGTTTGCCTTTGGGCTACAGGTTGGGTCATGTTCAATGCAACGCCCACTTTTGTGGAATCAACCGTCTTGAAGGGACCGAGTTTCTGCTCGGTTCAACCGACTGCATCCTTTCAAAAGTTTATGGCTAGGCATGGAAAGGAGCCTTCCAGGCACCAGCTGTTCGACACCTTTGGTTCAGACAGCGTGCCACCTTCATCCTCGCCAGGCCATGCCAGACAAGTGTTTTCAGCAAGTTTCTACTGGGTTGATTCCCATTACTGAACCACCAAGGGGAACATTTGACTTACTTGTTTGTGGTTTGGGGTTTTGTGTGAGAAACCCATATAGAGAACCACAACACCCATTCTAGGGGTTGATTCCTTCCAACCATTCTTTTCGGCCATCGTTCTCTGCAAAAACCGTTCGCCATTTCCAACCAGGGTTTTTGGTGGTTTTCTAGAAAGAAGGATCCTTGGAAAGAATGGGGAAGCTACTAGGCCCTAGAAAGTTGTGTAACATGCAATGACCGCGTTTCCAGCTGTTGATTCTCATGCCTTGATTCAAGCACATACTGTGCTTTTCAATCATGGGCAACCTTCTGCTTTTGAGTTTGTCCAACTTTTTCGGGCTGCTGCGGCCAAGCAGCTTGTGTGCGCCAATCAAGACAGCAGTTTCATTTTGCTCATTGGTTCATCAGGCAGGCGACATGCATTGCGGCACAGATGCCGACCCCACAGAGACTTGTTTCAGGGCACCGCCTTTCGGCTTGGCTCAAGGCGACGTACCAGTATTGCCCATTGCCCTTCGGCATGCTATGCCTCGACTCGGGGAGGGCATGGGTCCCATGGCAAGTGAAGAAGTGAACCCAGACGCGTACCTCTACTTGCCTTAGGCACGCACCAAGTAGTTCAAGACATGCTTGCCCGGCGCCTGGGCTGCAAACATGTGGATGTGCCAACCAGTCTCCTGGTTTATATAAGGACAGAATCGAATGAGGAGTGAGGCTGCTGGCGCCCAGTGAATCTTGCAGGTCAGTCTTCCCACCTTCGCCCGGAGAGGTTTCCGTCACAGGATGCCCCCGCTCCCAACTGAAAAGGCTTCCATTGCCAGAATCTTGTAAGCTTCAGGATGCATTTCGTGGGTGTTTTTCGCGCCGGTAGCGAAGAGTTGGTTTCGCAGTTGGCCCCCGAGCAGATGCCGGATGCCGGGCTGTGCTTTGAGATGCCGAGCGCGTGCCTTCATAGTGGAGAATTCAGACAACCAATGTCAGAGAGCCCTCAAAAGGGGACGCCACGGGTTTGGATCTCAGCGGAAACAGCGCAGCCCGATAAACTGGATGTGCTGAGAGGCCTGTGCCAACCAAGAAAGCAAAACTGCCACCCGGTTTGCGCGATCCCCCGTTAGGGGCCGCCGAGCAAAGCTCCTTGCGTTCTGCTGGTCTTGTTGCCGTTTTTGACAGTGGCTTGGAGCCTTGCACAATGCAAGGCTCCTGGCTTGATGTTCTGAGAAGGCATGTTCTAGCATCATGAGCAGCTTCGTGTTGAGCAAAGCAAGGAACGTTGCGTTGGCTCCAGTCCATCGCGCAGGGACCTTCGCAGCCGCCCTCCAGCCTATGCAGCTTTTTCCCCAACAGCTGAAAGCTTTGGGGTCTCAGCCCTGACAGGCTCCGGGGTGGTCCGGGGCGGCCCTGAGCTAAGGTTCCACCAGGGTTCCACCCGAGAGTTCCACCAGGGTTCCACTGGGGTTCCACCCAAGGGTTCCACGAGGTTCTGCTGCATGCTGTTGGAGATATCACCTGAGCTTATTGTGTCCTTAAGCCACTCCGAGCGACTTTCGGCAAGCTCCACTCTCGCTTCGACTCGGTGCTCCTATGCGCGCCCTGCGCGGCGCCGCGAGCGTAGCCGCAGCTGGAAGTTCGGCGGACACCCGGCTGGTTGAAGCGCTGAAACCTTTTTCAGACGCCGCGCGCCTTGAGTTGGCGGAACTTGAGGCTGGCGCAGTTCCAGCCGCTGGCTTATCAAGGCATCTCTGAAGGGTATCACCCTAAAATCATGGTGCCAGGGAGTGTCCTGATGCAGGTGGCTTGCTTTAGTAATGGCAGGAGCCTGCGGCTGAAGCCTTCTTGGTGTCTCAAAGCAGAACTATGAAGCGGGGGCCCAAGTCCTGAAATGGCTTGACCTGCCTCGAGACCTTTGCCTAAGGCGTGTTGGACAATAAAGATGGGCCAGCGGATCGGAGCAGCGGCCAGTTTCAGCTTGAGAGGTATCAGACGTGACGCACTGCCCCAAGGGGCTGATCAAAGGCCCCCTGCATCAGCATCAAAGACCCTTGAGGACGCCACCCTTGCGCCCCACCAACTCGGCACGGGAAAAAAGGAAAGGGGGCAGCTCACCCGGCTTTGGGCCCTGCCTCGTGAGGCTAAACGGGTGCGCTGGCTCAGACGTTTGACATGTACTCAGCCGTTTGAAGCCTGCCGACTCACCGCAGTGCCCGCGCACCTCGCAGTGCCAAATCGCTTTGCTCCGTTCGTAAATTGGTTGCTTGGAGTTCGAGTTTTGCCTTGCCCGCCAGGAGTAGCAGAAAAACGGCATGGGAGCGTCACGTTGCCTTGACTTGAGCTCAGCACGGAGGCGTTGGACCGCACCAGCTTGGCTCTCCCCACTGCAGCTCGGGGCTGCTGCCGCTGGCAGGCGCAGTGCTGCTGGCGCGCGCACGCGCTTCAGACTTTTGAGTTGTACGCCTCGCCCTCCTGCAGCACGCCCAAGTGCCGCAAGTGCTGCAATTTCCCGGTCCTTGCGCTTCCAGGGCTGTCGCGCGTTGAAGTTCAATTTGAGGACACGGTCCTGGTCTAGCGCTTGCTGCATTGGCTAGCTTCACATCAAGGTAGCGAGCAAGAGGTTGCTGGAGCCAGGCCGCGTTAGTGCTTGCAGGAGGAGTGTTAGATGGCATCGTGAGGAGCATCATGTTGCCTTGAAGTTGAGCTCACGGAGGCGTTGGACCCCAAAAGCTTGGCTTGAACTTTGTAGAAACTGATAGGTGCAAGTGCCCACCTGACACGGGTTCAGGCACTGGTGGGGTGACAACCCCTAGTGAGCAGGAGGAAACCTCAGGTCACGATGCACGCCGTAGAAAGCTGCAGCTTGAGGCCGCGCTCCGCAGGCGCAGTGCTGCTGGCCCACGTATGCTCTTAGACCTTTTGAGTTGGACGCCTTGCGCTCCTGCGGTTCGCGCAAAAGCGCCGCAAGCCCTGCAATTTCCCAGTCCTTACACTTTCAGAGTGGCACGCGTTGAATTCGATTCAAGGACGCAGTCCTGGCATTTGCTTCAGTGGCTAGCTGCTCATCAATCAAGATAGCTGGCAAGAGGTTGCTTGGACTCGGCGGCGTTTAGGCCTTCAGGAGTGTTAGATGACATCACTGCTTCCATGCGCATGGGCTCACGACTTCGGGTCGGAGGCCTTGCCTTGCGGCTTCGGCAATTCGGCAACGCAGTACCCACGGAAAACGGAGATTTGTGTGAATCAACGCGTTCTTGACGCAAATCAAGGGCGGAAATCGTTCAGCTTAACGCAAATCAAGACAGGGCGGAAACGGCGGGCTCTAAGCTGGGAGATCATATGATAAAGCTGGAGCGAAAGAGGAGCAGCTTGGCGTGGCCCCAAGGATGGCATGCGGACACCGCGAAGTGTGGTCAAGGCGTTTGCCACTGCTCTTCAACTTCCACGCTGAGGCGGATGCTTGGCGCGTTGAGGCGGATGCTGGGC